TCGATGCAGGTGGACAGCCCTTTGACCTTATTATATTTAAGTCAAATGATAATTTAATACATTGCTTCAGAAGGATAGCGGAGGAAGCGTCGAAGAGTTCCACACGCATCGATGTCTAGAATACATCAAAAATCATCTCGATGTTGTCTAATATATCTTAAAATGTGATGTGTTGCGGCCACAAACACCGCCAACCTCCACATGGTTGGCCCAGGGCAACGCTGAGGGCGGTGAATTTAGGCGGCGATATCTTCCTTCCTACGCGTTTCCGACAACTGAAATTTCGAGGGCCGTATAGAGACCCCCTGAGAAACACACGCCAAAGAATGAAAAGAAAAAATTGGGAGTGAGGTCTGCTTGCTTAACATCTACCGTGTTTCCATTTTTCTGACCAACTTACAATGGGATCGATGAGAAAAAATGTAAAGTTTCTGGGTGTTGTCATTATGTAATGAATCACGAAGTTTCAAAGTGATACGAATATTGTTGCGCGTTTTTTCTTAACTTTTAAAAAAGATTACAAAACTGTACAGAAAAAGTTTGAAAATTATCGCATCACCATAAAATTTCGTGAGCCCGTAAATAATGAAAAAACGTAAAAACGTAACTTTCTTTCACATCCATCCCATCGATAATTTGTTTAAAATTTGAAAAAAAAGGTGTAGCCGTCACGGGATCATCTACACGCCCCGTACGTATCTTCCGTACGTCAACGCTTCGATATCTTAGTGGCGAGTGCCAGAAACTACGCCGCACGGTGTATTCCTCCACTATTTCACTTTAGGCTATATAAGGGACCGCACCACAGACACGCGCTCTCTTGCTCCGCTCGCTGTGGGCGTTGAACTCCCTGACTGGTTCTCTAAGGGCACCGCTTAACCTCTTTCAGCCTTCTCGCTGACTAGGACGCTCTCTTGCCTCTTGGGATTAACAGCTGAACACAAACAGCTCTCATCGTCGAGTACTTAGACAGCTCTCATCGTTGCTCCGTCTCCTCGGAATTTGAGGAGACAACAAGGTTGCTCGAGAACTATACTTCTCCCCTGGGCTCTAGTTGCTTCTCCCCTTTATAGGATAGAGAAATTCTTGCATATGACTTTCTCCCTGCGCTGAGAGCGTCGATCTAAGCAGTGTATCTTTGAGACATAATTGTTGGTTAGCTGTACGGGTTGATGTGAACTAGCTTGGTCACTACAATGGCCTGATTCTTTAAGTATTTCACCGCATAACACTTTCCCCGCGCTTGTTCTCTTTGGTATAGATAATTCCGAAGATAGGGGGATCGTGACAGACGCTTCGGTTTCTTCAATTATTATCCAGGCCTCTCCATTTTGCACGGATAAGCCCTCTTTCTGGTTCGCTCAGGAAAGATCCCAAGGTTTTTGTTCGTACCACGCCAGGTATGGGAAGGACATCCGAAACTGTCACCCAGGATGCGTGGTTTTGGGAAAGGCCAGCGAGGGTCATTAATAGCGTCAACGGACTCTCTCCTGCCTTCTTGCAGTCTGTTCGGCAAGAACAAAAGTACGCAAGAACTGTATCTGATGGATGGAGAATACGATTTATCACTGTTCCTTTCACGCGCTTAAGCAAAGTCCACTGGCTATCAGCTTTGTGCAGCCAACGGTACGACCATCAAGACATACGGCCATGTTCTTATCAATCGGAATTTGAGATTATGCCACAACAAACCTGGCAGTTCGACTTGACAGATGTCTCTCACCCAAACATCGGGGCCGACCTTCTGTCCCATTTTCACCTATTAACGGACTAGCGAAATGATTGACTAATGGTACTGGTGAGCATTCATTGAAGGATGAGCTTATCAAGTTATCGCCACCTAGTGTGATGTGCTCTCGAATTCTCAATGAGACTTCCTGTTAAACGAACTTCTGCATATCAGGAAAACAGATGGCAAGTCGAATGTATGTTGGGCACATTACGCAGCACCACATCCAAATCATGGCTGGACCATCTGTTTTGCACCGCGCACGATGTTTGGCCACGGAGAAGTTCGCCATCGAACAAGCTGAATGCTCTGAAATGGTCAGACTTGGCGTTGCGCGACGTTCGAGCAGTTCGTGAGCCTCACTTCTTCAACTCGCAACCAAGTAAAACGGCGAATGGTGATCACGTGAGGATTACCGTTCTCAAAACGCAAGAACCGTCCAGGACAAATGCCAACTGCGCTACCTGAAGACTTTCACAAGAAATCTTTATGACAAGGCAGTTTTCCCGACAATCGATCTTGTAAAGGTATTTAGCCAATTACCTGTCGCACCAAACGATATCCAGTAAATCTGTATCATCATTCAATTCGGTTTGTTCGAATTCCCGTTTATGACTTTGGGCCTCCGTCACGCTGGACAAACGTTGGAGCGGCTAGTCGAGGAAGTAATACGGGACCTCTCGGTCGCCTTCGTTTACATCGATGACATCTTCATCGCAATGGAGAATGAGGAGCAGCATTGCGAATAACTCCACGTAATCTTTCTGAGACTCTGGGAGTTCCGTCTGCTGGTGGCTGAATTAGTCGTGGGAGAGTCAGAAGTGGTCTCCGTGGTCACCTGTAAACATGCACGCAATCACACTTCCGCCAAAACGAGTTGAAAAGATCGCCTCTTTCCCTAAGCCAGCAACCATCTAGCAGTTCACATGTTACCCTGACACGATCAAAAATAAATTATAATAATGATTTGCAGTGAAAATACGAATCTTTGAGAGGGACGTCTTTGGACTAGTTGTCAGCGTGCTGGCTCTATGACCAAAGCGTCCCGGTAGCGCAGGTTCGAGTCCCGATGGTGAAAAATTTTTCATCGTCGGAAAACGAACCCGAGGCCTGTGGAAGTTAGTTATAAGGTAGCTAGATGAAAAGTGCGGGTAGGGAATTAGGTTGGGGTACGGCGTAGGTACTGGGAAATGGGTGGTAAAAGACCCACGAGGGTCATACCACCTGGCACCACCCATTTATCTTTTTACAAATCTTTGAGATTTCCCTTTGGTTAAACAAATGTTAATGAAGACACTATATTGGAGACTCTATCATTATCACTATTAATATATCTACTGGATCACTAGTAAACATTTGGTAACCTCCCTCCCTTTTGTGAAATAAGTGCACGTCAAAAATGAAGTATTGACACTGGGAAAAATAATGATTGGAAAAAATAATGATTGATGTTGGGATGGGTGCATAGGAAATGTTGAGCTGAGGCTGGGATGAGTCTGTCAGGTTGAGGTAGTTGAGGGTGGAGTGAATGCATTGGAGAAAAATGAGAGTTTGAGGGTGGGCTGAGTATATCAGGATGTAATGTGGGTTAATGGTAGGATGAGTGTATCAGAGTGAACTAGCGGTTGATGGTGTGAAGAGTTTATGGGGAAAATAACGAGTTGAGGTCACCATGAGTGTGTCAGGGTCAAATAAGCGTTGATAATCGGAGGAGTGCATGGGAATATATAACGGATCGAGGCTGATTTGAAAGGAACAATCTAACTTCCCGTGCAAATATGATGGAAAACGCAGTCTCCCTATACAGGAAAATCCTCCGGTACAAAAGCTCTTCTTTTTTCAATTTTGAACATACAGATATGATCCACATCTGCATACATCCTCCTTGACACCATCCCCATTTACATACAGAGTTATTTGGGGAAATGACTCGAAAATATCAGCACAAAATGAAAGGCAAAAAAATGAGGCTGTTCGCAATCCCTCTTTGATATATCGCTCTGGTTTGCTGCTATTTCCATAATTACTGTAAGTGTTATCGCCGGAATACAGCGGTTTGCTCTGCTCGCAAGATTGAGAAGCGTAAAATTGCTGTTCAAAAAAAAATTTACAGGTACAGATCAACTTAGAATCACCCCCTGGGTCGATCTACATACACTTGTAGAGAAAGTTGTCATTGACCGCGTCGCCATCTTACAAATCGAGTAGTGAGGGTGTGATAACGGGGTTGAAATTTCTCCCGCGAAGTGAGCCGATCATCACACAGTTCACCCTGACCCACTTGTCTCATCAACAACTTCCATTTCACCCGGACACACTCATTCCACCGTCAACCCCCCATTTTTGCCGTGTACGCATTCCTCCTGCAACCCTTATTTTTCCCATGACTTACCACCTGTGACCTTGGCCAGTGAATTAATATAAGATAGTTCCTGGCCCGGGCACGATAAATCCGGAAAGCGAAGACTGGGGAAAAGTTCGATTATTAATTAATCTATAGAAGGGCCTGAAATATGAGAAAGAAGGAGGCCGGGCTGAATAAATTATTCACAGGGGGAAATTCTCACGAAGTTCTGTGTATTTCGAAGTTTGGTTGAATTATAAAATTCACACAAAAAAAAAAGAAATAGGCCTTTTATCAAAAAAAAAGTAGGGAAGGGGGGAAGGCCAGCCAGCTTGCGGCGACGCGCAAGAATTTATCAGTAATGAGTAAGGGGGGAGCAGTTAATGGGTAAAGGGGAAAGAATTTAGGGAACCGACCTGAAAACTACTTATCGATTCGGGGTTTCGCGAAAATCCGAAGTGATACGAAGACATTGAGATTAGAGACTTGGACGAGGTCACTACCAAAGAATATGTCTTGGCAGCCCTGCGTGCAGCAGCTGGTGAGGAACTACCGATTGAGCTCGGAGCCATCAAAACCATCCGGAAGGCTTTTAGAGACACACAGCCAGCGGTAGTGACCTTGGTAAGCCGGACACTCAAGAAGGTACTGGACCAACTGCAGAATGGTGAGGGTGGACAGACCGCTGAATTGCTTCAGGTGCTGGCACTATGGCCATCTCGCCCTGCACTGCAGGAGTGATCGACAGGTCCGGACTCTGGGTCAAATGCGCTGAGCCTGGGCATAAGGCGGCAGAATGCACCAAGGCGCCGAAGTGTGCGATATGCGCTGAAGCAGGAGGGAAGGCGAATGCCGACCATACCGCAAGCAGCAACAAATGCCCGGCGTTGAGAGCAGCGCTCCCGAAGGGTACCAGAGCGAAGTGAAATGAGAGTGCTTCAGATCAATCTCAATCACTGCGAAGCCGCACACGGCCTATTGCGGCAAACGGTGCGGGACTTGAGAGTTGACTTGGTGTGCATATTGGAGCCCTACCACCAGTTGGATTCTGACTGCTGGGCTACCGACTCCTGTCAGAGAGCGGCTTTCTGGAACTGTGGAGGTAGACCTATCGAGACCTCTAACAAGGACATGGAGTGGGGTTTCGTCCGGGCCATGGTAGCTGGGATCCACGTCTACAGCTGCTATGCCCCGCCGAGGCGCACTGCTGAGGAGTTGACGGTCTTCCTCGATCGACTGACCAATGACGCGAGGCAGCACTCCCCCGTAGCCATTGCGGGTAACTTCAACGCCTGGACGGTCGATTGGGGAAGTAGGGTGACGAACACTAGACGACAAGCGCTACTGGAAGCCATGGTACACATAGATCTTGTGCTGCTAAACAGTGGGGAGGAGCCCACGTATATGAGGGGAAGCGCCAGATCCATTGTGGATCTCACCTTCGTGAGTCGCCGCCTCGCAAGAGAAAACCACTCATGGGAGGTGAGCAACATCTACACCGCCAGTGACCACCGTGCAATACTTTGGGAGGTGAGGTGCGACCGGAGTTGAAGTCTGATGCTGGCGAAGGCAAACACCATTGGCTGGAAGGCAAGCGCCTTCGACCACAGCACCTTTGCAGTGGCACTGGATGGAGGGCCACTCAATGGCAGCGACGCGACTGAGAAGGCCGTGGACATCATGGAGAGGATACGGCGAGCCTGTGACGCCACCATGCTCAGAAAAGGCCCGAATCGCCGAAGGCCACCGGTATACTGGTGGTCTGAAGAAATCGCGGCATTACGGAAGGAGTGCAATGCGGCCAGAAGGCGAGCGCAACGCACTCGAAAGACGCAAAACTGGACCACCCTGGATGGCAAGTACAGGGAGATTCGTCGCAAGTTCGCCAAGGCGATTACGCGGGGTAAAGCCAGCGCGTGGAAAGAGCTCACGGCTCAAGTCGAGGATGACCGTTGGGGAAGGCCATACACGGTGGTCATTGCGCGACTCAAATATCAAACTTTGCCACCGCCTACGTGCTCGATCCTGCTTAACAAGATTGTTCGTGAACTTTTCCCCAGCCAACCCGACTTTCGGCGAATCGACGGACAGAACGAGCAGCACACCATTCCGTGCATCACAATGGAGGAGCTATTGGAAGCGGAAACCCGAGTCGGTTGCTCCAAAGCCGTCGACCTGGACGGTTTTCCAAATGCGGCCATCAAAGCAACCATTAAGACCTTACCGGACCTCTTCCTAGATGTCTGCAACCGCTGTCTCATGGAGGGCACGTTCCCCAGAGCGTAGAAGAAGCAGAGGTTGGTGTTACTCCCCAAGGGAAAAAAGCCACCGGACGACCCGACATCCTATCGTCCCCTCTACATGTTAGACACAACAGGGAAGATCCTGGAACGGATTATCCACCAGAGGATTGAGGGTGTCGTCGACCCCTTGCTAACCGACAATCAGCACGGATTTAGACGACGGAGATCAACACTCGGTGCAATTGACCTGGTGGTGTCAGTGGCGAGGGATGCCATCGCAGGAGCCACATGGAGTGGAGGAGCCAAGAAGTACTGCCTAATTGCTACGCTGGACATCTGAAACGCGTTCAATTCCGCAAGATAGGACTGCATCATGGCAGCACTTGAGGGATTCGGCGTCCCTGATTACCTACGCAGGATAGTAGAGGAGTACTTCTCAGACAGAGTTTTGCTGTACGACAGGCAGGAGGGCCCCAAGGAACACAGAGTGACTGGCGGTGTACCGCAGGGCTCAATGGTGGGACCGCTCCTGTAGAACGCAATGTACGATGGCCTGCTGAGATTGAGTCTCCCACAGAATGTTAGGCTGGTGGCATTCGCGCATGACGTGGCATTGGAGATAGTCGGCAAGCACATCGACGAGATCCGTATACGGTTGGGTTGCGCTTGGCGGAACAGAAGACCGAGGCAGTGCTCATTACGGACCGGAGGACCTTGGAGACGAACAAGCTGAGAGTCGGCGACTTCGAGATCACCTCAGGACCGTACATACGGCAGGCGAGGTGGCGGTCCTCACCAAAGAGAAGATGGACTCACCATCTGATCCCGGAGGTGGCCACTTAGGTCAGCAGGTGGCACGGTGAAGTAAATTTCTACCTTATCCAGCTACTATCGGGACATGGCTGCTTCAGAGCGTACCTCCACAGATTCGGGCATGACGATTCCCCGAATTGTCCGATCTGCCCGGGGGCGCTCGAGGATGCAGAACACATTTTCTTCACCTGCCCACGGTTCTCGCAACAACGTGACCGGTGGGAAGAAGCGACAGGTGCGCCAACTGCGCCCGAGGGGCTGGTGAACGCCATGCTCGCCGCCGGAGCAGCATGGGTGGCCACCAGCGACTTCGCCGCGACGGTCATGAAGGTGCTGCGGGCAGAGGAGTGTTGCAGGAGGAAGGAAGGTAGGGCAGGTAGGTGAACTAATGCCATAATTGCCCACAAGTGCAGGAAGAGCGGGCTTGTCCGCTGATGTTCCCCTCCGCAAGGTAATGCCTGCCGGCGGTTCCTCGAGGGGTCCACGGGACCATGTGACGAGAGAAAAACAGATCTGGCCTTGAAAAACCTTGGCCAGAACCTATGTAAGATTCCCTTAAACCTCTTAAAAAAAAAATTAAAAAAAAATTAAAAAAAACGAACTCAGCCTGACACTTCACTTCGTTCGTCCCACTCTCAAAATCCCACTTTTTCTCAATGAATTTATGCCATCCTCAACTCCTGCATTTCTCCCATCTACTCATTCCACGATCAATTTCTGCCTGACACACTCACGCGACCCTCATGCCTTCATTTTTTTCCAGGCATGCATCTCAACATCAACCCGCATTTTTCCACGTAACTCATCCCATCATCAATGCCTATTCCACCTTGAACTCCTCAATTTTTCCCAAGTACTCAACCCTCCTCCAACTACCATTTACCCTGAGTCACTCACCCGACCCTCACCGATCATTTTCTCCATGCACTCATTCATTCATCAACCACAACTTCACCCTGACACTTCACTCTGCTCATCCTACTATCAAAATCCCATTTTTCCCAATGCATTCATTTCACCCTCAACCTCTCAATTTCCCCCGTGCAGTGAGACAATCATCAACCCCCATTTTGCATTTACACACTCAGTCCACCCTCAACCACTCACTTTCTTCCATGCATTCATTCCACCATCACCCCCATTTCATCCTAACACACTCAGCCAGCCGAGAACCCCCATTTCAACCTGCCACGTTCATTATACCTGCGATTCCTAATTTTTTTCTACTGCAGTCAGATAAACCTCCTATCCTTATTTTCTTCCACTGCAGTCAGTTAAACCTCCTATCCTTATTTTCTTCTGCTGTACTCATTTGACCTCGCCACTCCGTCTAATCATCGCTTAAATCGATTAACATCTATAGAGACATTGTTTTTACCACCCTGCGACCAGCTTGGGGATGAGATAGTGATGGTTCGAAAAATGGCGTTGAATTTGACAGGTACATATCGACTCAGGGGTGATTCTGAATTGAGCTCTAGCCATCAAATTCAACCCCATTTTTCAGGCGTGATTATGAGTCGATCTGCACCTATAAAATTCTGCATAATTACATGATTATACGTGTAGAGGCTTTTCTTTTGCCCCTGCCGAACCTCTTGGAAATCGGATATTGGCGTTGGAATAATACGGTTGAATTTTATAGCTCCACCGGACCCACAAATCGCGATTTTCGACACTGCTCTCAGTCAGTTGGGCCTAATTTAAATTGAAATTTAATGTGACACAATTTTTCCCCTAATTGCTTACCGATTTTTTAATTTGTTAAGATGATGCCGTTTAAAAAAAAAAGGTTCCATAAGGAATCAACAAATCTGGACGTTTCAGGCAAATCTCAATCCTTTCGCATTTCTTCACAAAAATGAAGACGATGAATAAAAAATCTTTTGAGATACCAATCAATCTCAACGTTGTACACTATCCTACGTCGGTTTAGCCATCATTTGCACAACAATTTTTCTCCCATTTGTTGATAAATATTTCAATTTGTCAACAAAAAGAGAACCGTTACGTAGAAGTTTCTGAGGGTACAATAAATTTGGTTGTTTCAGGCAATTGTCCACCGTTTGAGTATTTATTTAGACAATAAAGTTTTTACAATTTGTTGAACAAATTTCGAATTTGTTAAGAAAGATGAAGCCGTTCCAAAAAAAGTTTCGGATGGACTAATAAATTTTGGCATTTTACATTATTCTCGGTCGATTGAGTCTAAGTTTACAAAACAATTTTTCCCCCTTTTTTTCAACAACTTATATATTTGTTAATAACAATGCAGCATCCCAACTACAGTTGGAAATCAATCTTTCCCACGGAACGCTCACTTTGGATGTTTCAGACAATTTTCTGCCATTCAAACATAAATTTGCAGACGATTTTGTTTTGTCCCGTAGAGATAAAACTCTCTCAGCCCCAGTCACAACGGAATTACCCCATAAATTTTCCATTTAAACATAAAAAACAGATGAAAAATTTTTTGGGGGCCCTCTCAAGCCCCACTGTGTCGCTCTGGTTTCTAGCCATTTTCGCCATTACCGAAAGCCTCGAGCTTGAGATCAAGCTTCTTGCTTTGACCGCAAAGTGAGAGAGCATAAAATCGCCACTCGTTAAAAAATTCCTTCCATCCGGGCCTTAAGTGGGTAAAACAACAAATTAGAGAGCCGCCTAGTTGTTAAGGATACAACCAGGAAAGACCATGTATGCCGCCCAGTTGTTAAGGATACAACTAGGAAAGACCGAAAAATCCGGTAGAGGTGAGGGTTAGCACCTCTACAAATAGTTCCGGAAACAGACACGGACGAGAGAACAGAATGGTGGGGTTAGGCCATTCTCGTGACAGGACAAACAATAATTCCGATAAGTTCCAATATATTCCGGTAGGGTCCGTTCTAAGCCAAGAGAAATTGATAAAGAACGGTTTTGCCAAAAGGGCGTCAAGTGCATCACCAGAGGTCGTCGCTGTCCCCTCCCCGGGATGTAAAGTTGGAACGCGCGCGAGAGCACTGGGTCGCTCAGTATGCTAGGTTATAGAGAGAGGGTCGAGATTCTTCAGTAAGATCGGTCCTTGTTAACGTAGGAAGGTTGGTAGGGTAGGGGGATCGATAGTAGATCGGGTCGATAGGGCCGAGAACGATCGGTAATTAGATAGCGATAGAAACTCGATAGCTGTCCATAGGCGCTAGCATGTCGAGAGCTCGAGGTATAGGTATTGGCATACCTTCCCCTATATTTCCTTAGCTCAGCCCTATGGCTGCAAGAAAGATAGCGATAGGTATAGTCATAAGGCGGGCTGCACAGCTACGCTAATCACCGGGAGTTACGGGCTGTCAGAGGCCTGGGTCGGCTGGCCCGTGAGAGCGCCGAGGCAACTCTGCCGTGTGGAGTGGAGAGTGCTCACTTAGTAGCTCTGTTCCCCACTCCCGACTTACACGGCTGGAGTGCGAGAGGGATCGTCCGCGGTGCGTCACCACCACTGCGAAGATATCCCTGCCGATAACGTTTCCTGGAGCTCGCCGAATTCAAATGTCCCCAACCAGGTCATCCAGTTAACCCCTTATTTGAATCCCTGGCCATTTGAAAGCCCGCTCCGTCTAACGTGGAAGAGTTCCCTGGAATGGAGAACCCAGTATTCCGGCAGAGGAGTCGCATTGGAAGCTGAAGTTCAGTACTATAACCTAAACTTCCCACGCGTGGCGAATTCGCGGATCCAATCGGTATATCAGAGGACGTGATTCTATCAAATCAATTTTATTACCTATTATTAACGCGAAAATCGCGCTACAAGATTCATAAATTCATAACAAATCCGTTGCCATGAATAGCGTTTTCACCAGTGCATAGGCAATGTAAGCAAAGAGTGATGAAACTCACTGGAGGATTAATCGGGAGAGAAATTGTAATTTGGCGACTCATTAAAAAAATTTAACCATTCTAACTGCTCAACTGATTTTGATAAAAATGGAATAAAAGACGAAAAAACTAACAATAAATCTTGAAAGCTTCTATCATTTTTATCGCGGAATTATTCTATTGGAAGATTTACTTCGTAATTCAAAATCGATTGATGTTAATTTGCGAATTAGTTCCACTAATCAATTTAATTGTCATCAATGGAACAAAGGTTATATAATATATGTGGATTCTTCAGAAAAAAATGAAAAATCATGCCAAAACTAAATAAAGATGAAAAAAATTCAATAACGAACAGATAATCATCCCTCTTTCAAATTATTA